AATTGCAAAAGAAAGTTCTGGGATCTGGAAATGGGAAGAAACTAAGTGCAGATTGTGTGTATGGATAATAGCCTTGGGTGGGATGAAGAACAGAATAGAGAGTTAGGTCAGGCACTAAAGTTGTCAGCTCACTTTACCTCCTTAGTAAAGGGAGTGGGAGATGCCTTTATTGGGAGGGGGCAGCAGCTGAGAAAGCCAGGGTTGGGATGAGGAAGTTACACATTTTTGGTAAATGGCCCAAAGAGAAAAGTAGGAAATAGTTTTGTGAAACCAGAGGAGATAGATAAGGTCAATCAGTTGAAAAGGGGGTATTGGCGGGGGGCAGGGGAATATTTTGCAAAAGCAAAGAAATAATTAGTAAATAGTACTAGAAACTAGGGCCTGGTGCAGTGGCTTACTCCTGTAATCCCAGCACTTTGGGAGGCTGAGGTGGGTGGGTCACGTGAGGTCAGGAGTTTGAGACCAGTGTGACCAACGTGGTGAAACCCTATCGCTACTAAAAATACAAAAAAATTAGCAGGGCGTGGTGGCATGTGCCTGTAGTCCCAGCTGCTGGGGAGGCTGAGGCAGGAGAATCACTTGAACCCTGGAGGTGGAGTTTGCAGTGAGCCGAGATCACGCCACTTCACTCCAGCCTGGGTGACAGGGCAAGAGTCTCAAAAAAACAAAACATTAACTTGCCACTCAAATGGATTTCTAGAGAAAAGGGAAGCATAGAAGGAACTCGAAGGCTTATTCTTCCTTGATGGGAGTATTTACTCTGATTATAATTGACAGCCAGCTTTTCTCCTTTATCATGGAAAAGACTTCTCACTTACCTAAAACATTTCTTACAAATATTTCTTACAATGCCTTCATTCTTTGATTTCTCTTGATTCTTGAGCATCTTTTTCTGAGTATTAGTTTTGTTTCCTAGGAAGAATTTTGGGAAAGTCAGGAGAGTCTGCCTGGTGCCAGTGACTGTATGATATACAGCTCCCAGTATAAATAAATAAGTTCCCAAATAGTTAAAAACTTTTGTGTGAGAATGTCTTGGTTTTTCCCATGTAGTCATTGTTGGTGAATGGTTTAAGATGAAGTTTCTGGACTAGCAAAACTCTTAGAAATTGAGCCCCCCTTCTCAACAATTGACTGTAGGAGGTAGGGCAGGAGACTGGTATACAGGGATGGGGAAAGAGTGTGGTTCTCTTGTAAATGAGGCAGAGGGAGATACCCTGAAAGAGGGAGGTGAGGAGGGCGAATAGAGAGGAAAAGAGCAGGGGAGAGAGGGCCAGGGGAGGTGGGGGAAAAAAGTACACACACCCAAGAGTGTAAATAAATAGTGAAAGAGAATAGTGGCAAGTGGGTGGTGTAGAAAGGAATGGAAAATGCTGCAAGGGCAGGATGAGCAAGTTTTGAAGGTAGAGGAAAGAGATAGTGAAAAGCAAGGGTAAGACCAAGAGAGCACTTTTATCAAAGCCCACAGCAGAAACTGAAGGCAGTTTTATCTAATAAAATAAGAGAATACTGGAGGTGGAAACTTCCTTTGACTCTCAGCAGGCAGCTTGGTGGCACAGAAAAGGCCTTGAACTTTAAATTGGAAGATTTGGATTAAGATCCTGGCAGTGCCATTTAAGTGTTCTCAGCCTTAGTTTCCTGCTGCACTCTTCCCTATTTAACAGTGGTTGGAGAAGGCATTTCTTGGAGGTCAGTTTCCTAATCTCTAAAATGGGAATAATCACTGTGAGATTGTTGTGATGGCTACATAAATATGCAGAGCGCATACTTTCTGCCTTTTCTTACTCCTACTTAGTTTCCTTGGGACATATAAATAGAATTTTCAGTATTTCTGGTTGAAACTGTATTTGTAGATTTTTGGATTTCCAAGAAATGCCTAGCTCTACTTAAATGTATAATTAGATTACACAGAAATGGCTAGATACAGAGCTTTGCACATTTGATTTACATGCTTTGTCAATGTTAATGCTGGCCTAAAGATTTGTCATTACCTAAAACATTTGTAGAGTTTCCAGCTAACATCCTGTCCTCATCCTTCCTCCCCTCCTTTATTTTTACTATATACAGTTTAGGACTCTATTGTGCTTATCTAAATAATATAAACACCATGTAAGATGATCATAGCTCCTATTTCAGGGCCTTTTTGAAACTTACAGCACAATATTGTAAGCCTTGTCTGTCTCTTTGTGCTCATATAACTGAATTTTACTCTTTAAGTTTTATACATTTCCATTTTTAGCAAGCATTCCCAATCTTTTATATTTTAATGATAGAGTGTCTCATTTGTAACATAGTATTGGCTGTGGGTAATGCAGCTATATTTTTGTGTAGTGTTAGTTCTGACAATTAAGATTCTTAGGCGATATATAGGCAGCTAGGTAGCATGTTAATGAAATTCTGTTTTTTTTTTTTTTCGGAGACGATCTCACCCTGTCTCCCAGGCTGGAGTGTAGTGGCGTGATTTCGGCTCTCTGAAGCCTCAACTGCTCAGGTGCAGGCCGTCTTCCCACTTCAGCCTCCGGAGTAGCTGGGACCACAGGCATGCATCACCATGCCCAACTATTTTATTTTATTTTTGTCTGTAGAGATGGAGTACTCCACTACATGGCCCAGGCTGGTCTTGAACTCCAGGGCTTTAGTGATGTTACCTCAAGTCAAACGCTTTTTTTTTTTTGAGACAGAGTCTCACACCGTCACTCAGGCTGTAGTGCAATGGCGTGATCTCGGCTCACCGTAGTCTTCGCCTCCTGGGTTCAAAACAATTCTCCTGCCTCACCTTCCGTAGTAGCTGGGACTACAGGCATGCGCCACCATGCCCAGCTAATTTTTTTGTATTTTTAGTAGAGACGAGGTTTCACCATGTTGGTTAGGAGGGTCTTGATCTCCTGACTTTCTGATCAGACCTCCTCTGGCCTTCCAAAGTGCTGGGATTACAGGCGTGAGCTACTGTGCCCCGCTCAACCTCAGGTAAAATTCTTTTTTTTTTTTTTTTT